TTTTTTACAGTGTAGTAATCACAACATTTTTTCTTTTGTCAAATCAACTTAAATAATTTATTTAGTTCAGATAACATATAATTTTGAGTTTCTGATGGTTAAATTAATCTCCTTCATTGTATTAACTCACTTTTTTTCAGTTCAATGAACTTAACATTTTAAGGCAACCAGGTTACTTACTTTTTTAAGTTAAACCATCAATATTTTTTACAGGCCAAAATTATCACATTTGTGCATCCCTAATTTCCAAATAATAATTTTAAAAAACAGTACGAATAAATAGGTGTTGACTTTATACATCAAAATATAGCGCTACAAAATATACACATCTTTTATACATGAAAATGTACACTATAGTTCAAAACTTTGGGGTTAGTAAGATGTTTAATGAATAATTTATGAAAATGCTCACAAAGGATGCATTTTTCAAAAAATAAAAAATAAAAATAAAGCAAAAACACAAATACGGTGATGTTTAAGTGACATTTGCAAGTGACAAGGAAAAACATTTATGTTGATGATCAATGGTGAGTTTAAGGGATACAATAATTACTAAATGGGGACTTTAACATCTCTGCACCTTGATTCGTTATGGTTAAGTGATTGAAAGGCTCATTTTATACTTACATTGGCTTTGATTGTGTCTGCACTTATCTAGTGATATTTTCTACCCCCTAACTCAGAGAATCCTTTTTGCATTTTTAAACTTTCTTTAAGACATTATTAGACTGAGGAAAACAGTCTAATTATGGCCATGGTGATTTCAGGTTTTACTATCCTTGCCTACATTGTAGGCACCAAATGTACTCACAAATCCTGACCCACACAGACTTTCATTCCACTAATTTACAACCACATCCCACAGAACTGCCCTCAGAGAGAATGTTATGGCATTTAATCAAACCACTACACATTGACACACCAATACGGCAGACGATTCCAGGGCATAAATCTATTAATGCTCCACTGTTAGCATTCATTGGCAGATTTGGAGAAATCCCTTCATTATAGCACTTAACACCTCAAAGGACTATACCCACTGAGACCAACACGGCACACAATTTATCACCGGGAGCTTCAAAGAAGCTAGATACACACACACACACACACACACACACACACACACACACAGACACTGCAATGAGCCAACCTACAATAGCAAAGACCTGAGAGCCAAGAGCTAGAGTCCTAATGGATATCAGCACAGCAAATTGCTCTTCCTCTCTGAAGACAATCCAACAATCCTGAAAAGAAACAAAGCAAGTTAAAAGACAGTAAAGCCTTTTTAAGACTACAAGAAGTGGAGGGCCATGCATAAAAAAAAGAACACAAAAAAAAAAAAAAACAGCCCAGTGGATTTTTAGCAACATCCTAGGAGGTGCAGCAGGTGTTGCGCAGGGATATAATTCATGAGAACGTCAAGATAAATTACAGTTGAACAGACATCACACACTCAATCTAACAAGCCTATATCAAGGGATTTCACTGATGATAAGCTGATGAACAAGCCAAGGTTCACTGCAACTGTCAGTCACAAAAATCTTGCTAAAACAACAAGAGAAGCACTAATTAACAAAGTGGGCTGATGGTTATTCTTGAAGAGTGACATCATAATGTGTGAATTCTTGTGAAGTACTTGGCTCTTATTAAAAGCAGCGTACAGATTCCCAATATATTCTTAGTAAAACTCTTAATAAAGTATGTAGCTATATAAATATCCAAAACAACCTTGCTTGAGGGGAAAAAAATCATTACTTTAACCGTGGGTATTTTAATTAACGTCTATGATTAAAATATTTTGAATTTGTTTCCCAAAAGATTCATTCAGTGTCCCTTTCTGCAGGTTGGTGGAGACAAGTTCAGTCTTTTTGCATCATGAATGAGTTATTGAATCAGTCAAGGGCTGTTCACACTGACAACAATTTGCAGTGACATAGTAACCAAAGGTTATTAATTTTCAAAGAGAGTCACACAAGTGGCAAGGGTCAATTTATAAAAATGAGCAGCAACAGATCCGGCGACTACCAGTTGGAGCCCAGCAAGTGATCCAGTCCCTAATAGAGTTGGATACCACAGCAAAGTAAAGTAGTAAAGACTACAATCAACCACAGTACAGTGTGTGAATCTGTGACCTTGAGTGATTTAATCGCTTACAACGAAACAATTCCTATCAACATAGAACAAGCAAAATAGAATTTTAGTGCATCCTGTGAATGTTCATTGGTTGGAGTTGCTGAACGAAGATCTCGTTCGTTGCTGAATTTGGAGCCGCATACTACCTCAGTTTAAATTATATCCTTTTGTGACAGGAATAGTATGCGGTTCCAAATTCAGCAACTGTTCTTGAACGAAATTAATGAACGAACAAATCATTTTGTTTGAATATTTGCTGACAAACTCAAGGAGTCACTTCAGTTTGTGTGACGAATTAGGAATGCTGACTGCAAGAACTGGAGGGTGTCACAAATGAACCGAAACTTTGTGTTTAGGCCTAGGCATATAGAAAGCTTAAAATGTCAACTTCATCGTTGTAGTCAACACTGACTCAGAAAACACTTGTTTACTTTTAGCAGGGCTTTGTGGCAAACTTTCTGTGCACTTGTACTTTCTGTAACCTAGAAATTCAATAAGAATATATTTTAATAGAGAATATGATTGTTCTTGCATTGTTTGCGCATAGTAAAAAAAAAAAATCATGGTGAACATTTAAATAAATCAGAGCAATCATAAAGGCTATCACAATCATGTTTTTATTTTATCTGTCAGATAGCATATGTCTCGTCTCTTTGTACCTGAATACCATAAAATAAAGCAACTTTCTTTTCGGGAGCTTCCTCTTTTTCTCTGACTGAAAATCTGTAGCCTACTGGGAGTCGAGAGAGTCGTAAAGCTCCCGATACGTCCAGTAACTTACTGTTACAGGACATATTTATATAACATTTAGAAAGATGTCCTGTAACTAAGTTACCAAATAAACAGAAACAGATGCGACTGAAGAAGCATGTCCTCGTCCTTTTGTGAAACCTAGCAGTAATTAATGTGACGAATAAAGAAGGCATACTAATTACAATAGTTCATGTTTTTCACAGTCAGTAATTCACACTGTAACATATGTTTATTCGATGTGCCAAGTTGCAGTTTGTTTAAAATTACAAACCTGTTCACCTGAAGAAAAAACTCGACGAAGTGCAATTAGAAGACTTTCTGTCATAGCTTTTTGGTACATAACGGCTACCGTAGATGCAACACAGTTGAAAAAGCGAGGCGCTGGATAGCACAATTTATTTGAATGCAAAATACAATTTCACCGCTAGATGGGAGTAAATCTTACACAGAGTCCCTTTAAACATTTAATGTAATATTATTAAAATGGATTTCATAAAAATGGTATCGAAAAAATTTATCGTTCAGGAACATGTATCGAAGTCAAGGTATTGGTATCGAAACAATAGCCAGCCCTACTTTAAAGATACCCAGCCCTACTTTCATTCAAATGTAAAGATCTGTTAACTACCACCACTTTTACCAAAAACAAAACAAAATTCACATGTCGCTGAATTCAGTTTTCTTTTTATTTTGGTTATATTTTATAAATACCTTTAGGGTTATTGTTTTTATTTTAATTTTTTACTTAAATTAATTGCGAATAGTAGCCTACATAACAAATTGATTTTAAAAGCAGTAACTTATTTGTTGTCAACACGAACCTTTGTATTTGGTGCCACTACCGTGCCAATATCAAAACAATGTCGAACAATATCAAAATTTAGCAAAGCATCATTCACAACAGACTTTGTAACAACATGTTTCACATTGCCACGCATTCCCAGTGACACAACTCGGCCGATCTGGATTCATCTGGAATATAAAGTTCGAGTTGGTGTTCGAAACTCCACTTAAAGCAAAAAAGCGTTCACTTTAGGTTAGGTTCACTTTAGGATCTGCATTTCAACACCCGTGCGCCCAAGCTCGCCAAAACATGGAATCAAAGTAGTTTCATTGATTGTCTGCACTGTGTAAACATAAGCTTGGTCTCTTAAGTTGGATAAAGACTCGTCATTCAGATTAGAGGAACAGTCTTCCATCCAATGTTTTGACTCTAGATGCATTCCATTTTTTTTGTTCTGGAACATCGAAAGGGCTTGTTGCTGGTGGTCGCGCTTTTCTAAATGGGTTAATATGTAGCGCTCTACCCCCACCTGCCGTCCCGTGAGAAGTACCAGCCTCTAAAATGCATACACACTTCACAAGACTTTGGCAGCTGATGGTCAAGTTCAAAGACGCGCTTGAGTCACTGGAGCTGTGTTTTGAACTATAATGCCGTTTGTTTGCTATTAACATACAAACACATGCACAACGCGCCTCCACCCATAAATGCAACCTTTATTCTGGTTATCTCAAGAAAATAACTACTCAACGTGCACTTAAATTAACATTTGTTTTTTACTTAAAGGATGAGAATGCGTTGGAATAACATAAAACCAAAATATATTTATCTAAATGTAGCCTAGTCTATTTATAGTAGGCTAACATATACCCTACTCCCTATGCTACTTTAGGCTATTTATATTATAGAATGTAGGTTTTTTGCGTAAAAGAAGCGAACTAAGCATGTCATGCGTATTGTAAAAAGTTACTTTTTTGTCTGAGATTACGATCAAATGCAATCCATAGCCAATATCTAAATCTAGCAAACGCTGGATCTCCACCAGACCATCTCGAGAACCGTCTGCAAGAATTCTCAAGCCCCACATGAGTCTATGATAACAAGTGCAAACAGAGAGCCTTTGCATTGTTAATTCAAGGTAAGCTTAATCTGTCAAAAGAAATGTTTTCTCCAAAGGGACGTGCCCAAACTGCAAAGCAGCGCACAACAAATCCGCCCCACTCCTAGCTACGTCTCCCTCATTCAGATAGACCCCTTCAGTGAAATGCATGCCTGAGAGCAAGTGTATTTTCTCACACTTCTCATTTTCATCCTCACAATCATGCGTCCATACCTTGGCTGCCACCGATGAGCAATCCGAGGAAACAGAGGACGGTCCGAATCATTTTCAGCAGGTCCTGATGGACAGCAGCCAGTGCTCGAAGTGAGTTGAACGGACGCTGGACGCTGGATCTCCCTCTCCGCGCGTGTCAGTCTCTGGCGCGCACGAGCTCGCTCACTACTCACTCGCTCACTGTCTGCCACAGACGGGATCTGTTGAGGAGCTCTAAGCAGCTGTGCCTCAATGCAGTACTTTTTTCAAATGCGCCGAACCAGCCCAACCTACTAGCAGCAGTGCATCGCGGCAGGTCCAAACCAATGTCCATCATCAGATCAGTCATAGGTAGGCTATTGATTATTCAGTAGCCTCACATAAACAGTGGAGAAGTCCTAGTCTAAAACCACGTTAAAATCTGAGCTGTGGTCCCATTTAAGCAAATTAATCGTAGTTTGTTTTATTTTATTTTATTTTTTAGGCTACAATAAAGAAAAGGCATGGTGTAAACTAAATAGGCATAGGCTATAGCTTTCGGTCACTTATCATTAGCGACATTGGTCATTGGTCAACTTCTTTAGACAAAAAGTCAGATGTTTTTGTTTTCAATAAAGCTCAAGGTGATCTTTAAAACATTCTCAAATAATTTTGCTTTTTTTATTCCATTTGTGAAGAAGAATGTAAATGTCATGTGACAGCCCATTCTCACCCCCAAGGCGTCACTTAACTGACGCCTTGGGAAGCATTTGGACATGCTTCAATATCTGACGCTTTAGGCGCCCTTTAGCGTCAGTTAGATGACGCCCTAGGATCGCGTGTACCCTACCCCCACCCCACACCTAAACCTAACCGCGTCCTCTAACTGGCGCTTTCCTTTAGCGTCAGTTAGATGACGCCGTAGGATCGCGTCATGTAAGTGACGCTAAAGGGCGCCTAAAACGTCAAATATTGAAGCATGGTCAAAGGTGACGCCTTGGGGTGAGAATGCGTTGCATGTGACAGATGAATGAAATAAGAAAAACAAATCGTGGAAAATAACAGCCCATTCTCACCCCCAAGGCGTCACTTAACTGAAGCCTTGGGAAGCATTTTGACCATGCTTCAATATCTGACGCTTTAGGCGTCCTTTAGCGTCATTAGGATGACGCCCTAGGATTGCGTGTAACCCTACCCCCACCCCAGACCTAAACCTAACCGCATCATCTAACTGACGCTTTCCTTTAGCGTCAGTTAGTTGACGCCGTAGGATCGCGGTCATGTAACTGACGCTAAAAGGGCGCCTAAAGCGTCAAATATTGAAGCATGGTCAAAGGTGACGCCTTGGGGTGAGAATGCATTGCAAATAAAGTTAACAGTAATGAAAGAAGTGTATTGTATCATACAGTATGCAGTAAGGTTCCATATATGCATATGTACGGCATGTACAACTTTTATTCAGAGAGTTTTGGTTACAAAACCATTTCCCAGGCTCTTTGGCTTGTTTATCTAATTCCAGGCAGGACATTTAAAACCCTCAAAAGACCTCCATTGGGCCATTACATCAAGCTACATAAACTTCCTTTAAGGTCCACTTGGTACATGGGGGGCACGATGACGATTACAAACACTCATTTTTGTCGGTCCCTGTTGAAAGGTGTGACTCATAACTTTGCATGGGTCAGAACATGATTCTCGAGTTAGCTAAACCCCCAAAACCCCTCACAAACCACTTACTGTGGTCCATAATTTTTTTTTTTCAGTTTTTATTTACTCATAGCATAAAGCATACACACACACACACACACACAACTGGAGGCAGGAAAAATGTATGTGACTTTAAAAATACCTCTATTTCACCTTGACATAACAGACACACTCCCTGCAGAGAGGATGATATTCTGGAGGAGAGGCTTAGTGTATGTTTAGGTAAAGCATGGCTATGGTTCTGTTTACCTGCAGCTTAGTGATGTTTGTTTATATAGGAGATGATGCAGGCACTGTCATGGAAAAAAGAAAAAAAAAACTATTGCATTAACGCAGAGAGGAGAAGAGCTGTGGCAATGAGCCATGCACTATACAAATCTAGAGAGAACAGCATTAATTTGAAAGCAAATTCGGTCAGATATCAATTTCAACACATTATGATTTTGTAGGCTTATCTATAATGTACAATTAGTTGAGTGCAGCAAAATTGTCCACACGTAAGTACTTATTGTCTACAAGACAATGATGGAATGCCTGGAATTTCTAAAAAAACAAATTCCCGATCGCATGCTTTAAGGGGAAAGAAAAGAATTCAGCAAAAAAAAAAAAAAAAAAAATCAGTGAGTGCAAACAATCACTTTCCAGTTTAAAAACAAAGGCGTACTCATAGAGTTCAGGCTGCAAGGTTTGCCGAGTTTGAAACTGAAATTATAATTTCTGAATAATGTCCTTAAGGCATCCCTCTAGTTCAGTCAGCTGAATAGCCGCATGTTCCTTTTATGATTTAATGCATCTCAAGCAGCGTCCTGTTTCATGGATGTTTTCTTATCTAAAGAACATAAGGGGAAAACAGATCCATAAAATAGGAACTTCAAATTAAGCTGCAATTTCAAATGGTGACTAATTCATATACATGGTTTGCTTCTATTGGGACACATTACACTGTAAAAATGAATGCTTTATCTAATCAAAAAAAATGTGGCAACAGATTACAAACAATATTATTAATTACATTTAACAAACTAGAATTGAGTAATAATGAATCAAATTAATTGCTTAAAAGTTAACCATTTAAAACGAGTAAAACTTACAACAACAACCAAAAAAAAACATGTATTTAAGTCACCATTATGGTGATCAGTGTTTTAATGTTTGTTTTAAAATTACGTTTTTCTCCTTCAGTGATTCTGCTTGTTAACATCAGGTGTTTTCAATGTTGGCAATATAAAATAAAAAATTCTTAATTGATCTTTGAAGTCTGTCTGTTAGTGAGATAATTATGTTTGATATTTTTTTGTGTAAACTTTACTCATTTTAAATGATTAACTTTTAAGCAATAATTTGATTAATTATTACTCAATTCTAATTTTTAATATTTATTAATAATATTGCTTGTAATCTGTTGCCACAACTTTATGATTAGATAAAGGGTATCAATTTAACAGTGTGAGGTTGATATTTGAAATACATGCATCACATTAATGCTTCTGAATGACAACACATTTTGAATTCTTTCTTTAATTTCCTGAAGGACTGATGGAAATGGACAGAGCAAAATGCATATTTGGGTGTATAGTTTCAACAGTTGTTTTCCAAATGGAGTTATTATGCTTATTATGCTTAAAAGCTCCACGATGAAGAGGAAAACCTCTCAATTTCAAGCTTCTCTGCCCCTGACAGACAACACTTTGTTACTCTCCAGATAACATCATTAATGAATATAAGTGGAATGAATACTTTGTCACAGTCAAATGCTCAGCATACATGTCACATATAAAAGGATCTTTAAACAGGAAGCTGAGACACACAGACAGCGTAGATACGGGATTAATGAATCGGAGAGAATGAGAGGCTGTGATTAAGAGGTTCCTGTGTATCACAGAGCAGTTCAGAGCATTTTCTCTACCTGTGTGGATGGAGCAAAGAACCATGAAGAATACTGACCATAGAAACGTCCTGGAGTACATACTGGACTAGAGATGAGCCAACACTGGAACAAAGTCAGGAATGTTGATTTAAGCTCAAATATTCTGAAGGATCAATCTATAATAGTATGTCGCATTTATTTTGGCCAAGGCAGAGGGAAAGTTGAACTCTGAGTTGCAAAGTCATTTTTGTAGGCTATAAATCATCAACTCATTTTTAACAAGGAATTAATTAAAACAGTGTTTATAAGCTAGTGGTTTTGGTCACAGACAAAAGGTAAATGCAATTTACAAAATTAATACAGAACCATAATTATTTTTTTTTTATAATTATTTTTTTCTTCTTTTGAATTATTGGCTGCTAAGAGGATTAAAACCATTTAAATTTAGGGTACAAGAAAACAACATGGTTAGTTTTTGTTTAATAAAAAAAAATATCAAGTAAAAAAAAGTATTAAGAATTTCACAATTTAAATAAGCTAATAGTCTCTTAGCTAATTACTTTACATACAAGTAAGCTTTTACTATTCCTACAGCAGTTAAAAAATATATCTGAGTAAACTATTTTGTGTCATGAGGTTGAAGGAGAAAACCCATACCAATATGCAGAAACCCTCGAGGGGCAAAACAGGACTGAAGGGGAGTACACCTTGACTAAGACAAGAAAATAAACGGTAACACTTTATTTGAAGGGGTGTGCATAAGACTTACACGACACCTTCATAACCATGACATGACATATGTCTTGAATATGAAGTAAGGTTTATGCATGTTTATGACAACTGTCATTAAGTGTCATTTGCTCAATAATGACAATTTGAATGCAAATATGACATTAAGATGTCTTTGTTATGACATCTTGACATGAACCATAATATCATAACCTGTCAGTGTTTTTCTCTTGACAACTTGACGTTAAATTAAGTTAAACTGTCATGTGGTTTGCTTTGACATTGGCTGTCATGAGGCCATTATAACTGTGCATGAATATTTTTAATACAAGTGGAACTAATTGAATTTGAAATTAAAAAAATGGCTTCATGACAGCCAATGTCAAAACCAACCACCTGACAGTTTAATGTAATGTTAACCCATAAAGCTAGGTGGTTTCTTAAGTTTGATAATTAATCTGCTATGTCATGTTCATGACAGGTTGTGTTGTCTTAGTAATGTCAATTGTCATGACAAAGACACTGACAGGTTATGATGTATTGGTTTATGTCAAGGTGTCATAACAAAGACATCCCAAACAATGTCATATTTTATATTAAACATGTTAATGACACTTGTCACAAACATGCATAAAACTTTCATATTCATAACATATGTCATGTCATGATTATGAAGGTATCATGTTAGTCTTATGAACACCCCTTCAAGTAAAGACTAGATACTGATTTGATGAAAAAACAAACAGCTACACAAACTACAATTCTCATTACCAGATTAAGACAAAGTACACACAGGACTGTCACAGAGAATAACACGCAGTGATTGACAATGTACCGACACAGGACAGCAAACACAAGGAGATTAAATAGGGAGAAACTAATGATGAGGACAGGTGAAGCTGACTAGACAATAATGACAAGACGAGGGTTACGTAACGGGACAATACAAGCACATGGCCCAAACAAAACA